AGTGCAGCTTGCTGCCAACACTCATTTAATTTTACATAAACACACTCTGAGGCCAAAGCAACTCTGATTCTCAATGTAAAAATAAAATAACTCTTCTCAGAGTAATTTCTAAATGGAACTTGTCTCTAATCCCAATGTATATGATGTCCCATTAGGATCAGAGATGAGCATTCTTGGGGCAAACAGGAAATAGGTTAAATGATGGAGAGCAAAGTTAGTTGTCTTACTTTGGTAAGTTTGACGTAGGACTTACCACGCTTTTGATGTTTTCCGTCACAATTCTGTCCCTAGAATGCTAACAACTGGATATATGCAGTGAGTAACCTAACTCTTTAATACAGTGGTTTAAAGTGCTGCAGGTAGTAACTCAGATGCCAAATCACAGTGTTTTAATTTGTAACACGTTAGAGAGAATAAAAGGATTTTCTGCAATATAAACATCCTACTGAGTAATCATTATGCTGTTAAATTATAGGGCTTTGACTCTTGGGTCTGAAGAAGGCACCAACCCCTGCTAAATCTTTAATATTGATACGAGTTGAAGTCTCATCTTCAGACCCGGGAGAAGGTGACAATTAAAATGAGCTGCTTTTGTAAGACACAGGACCAGAAATCAAAACTGTTCAGTCCCTCTAGACCCAGGGACTACTGCAGAAGAGGTGCGTACATGAGATTTTAAGGGCCAATTTTGAGGGATAATATTAGTTCAGAGTTTTTCTACACATTAAACATTAGTATCAAAAGTACACTAATGCAAGGACAGTGTCTGGGCCCCTGCGTCAGAATAACATGGGTTTCGTGGAGCACTGATCTGGTCTTTAATAAAAAATTGTAGGCCGGGCGTGGTGGCTCACTCCTGTAATCCCAGCACTTTGGGAGGCCGAGGCAGGTGGATCATGAGGTCAAGAGATCGAGACCATCCTGGTCAACATGGTGAAACCCTGTCTCTACTAAAAATACAAAAAATTAGCTGGACATGGTGGCGCGTGCCTGTAATCCCAGCTACTCAGGAGGCTGAGGCAGGAGAATTGCCTGAACCCAGGAGGCGGAGGTTGCGGTGAGCCGAGATCGCGCCATTGCACTCCAGCCTGGGTAACTAGAGCGAAACTCCATCTCAAAAAAAAAAAAATTGTAAAAGAGTATAAAAAGTAAATAGAAATCTTACCTTATGGTTAAACTGATTAAAATTAGATAGATTTGTTTATAAGGTTTTATTAAAATTAACGTTAACATTAATAATACACCATAGGAAGGTAAAATACGGTTTTCTCTTTCAAAAGCATTTTTCATGTAAGAGATGAGATTTCTGTTTACCTTTTGAGTAGAACTCCAGTATAAAATAGAGGGAGAGAGGCGGACGAATTTAGCTGGTCTCACGTGTTCTGTTTGTTTGTTTGAGGTGCAGTTTTGCTCTGCCCAGGCTGGAGTGCAATGGCAAGATTTTGGCTCACTGCAACCTCCACCTCCTGGGTTCAAGTGATTCTCCTGCCTCAGCCTCCCACGTAGCTGGGATTACAGGCACTGATTACCATGCCTGGCTAATTTTTTGTATTTTTAGTAGAGATGGGGTTTCACCATGTTGGCCAAGGTGGTCTCAAACTGTTTCTTTGGTTTTTGAGACAGCATCTCATTCTGTCACCCAGGATGGAGTGCAATGACACAATCTTGGCTCACTGCAACCTCTGCCTCCCGGGTTCAAGGGATTCTTGTGCTTGAGCCTCCCAAGTAGCTTGAATTACAGGTATCTGCCACTATGCCCAGCTAATTTTTGTATTTTTAGTAGAGACAGGTATCACCATGTTGGCCAGGCTGGTCTCAAACTCCTGACCTCAAGTGATCCACCCACCTCGGCCTCTCAAAGTGCCAGGATTACAGGCACTTTTGTTACTGTCTTTTGTTTAGGTCTTATTGTCTAGGAAACTGAGTCTGCTATAAAAGAGAAAATGTTTTTGTAATATAATTTTGGCTAAATGAATGACTGTTTGTAGTAACTTGTGATATTGTTTTGTGATGTCAAGTATCTGAAACCTTTGATATTTGACAGCCTTTTCAATAGCAAATTTCAAAGCTCTAAATTCAGTATTTTTGACCTTAAATTAACATTTTTTAGATATTAGGCTTCCTGAAGTCCAAGAGAGAAATATTAGGCTTATTTGTTATGTTAGAATTATACAGGAAGCCTTGTAAATTATGAAGTGGTATTTAACTTTCTTTGGGTTATATTTATATAGATATGTTGTTAATATGTGTTCCAGGATTTATGACGTTCTTAAAATTCTAATATGTCTAAATATAAGTTGTTAGCAATAATTCATGATTATGTTAAATTGTCAAATAACACAGAAATAACCAAATTTCCTTGTCGACTGTGTCTTTGACTACGTCTGTCTTAAGAATTCTGTCATCCGCAATTGTTGTTTTGCTTTGATCCTTCTAAAACGACTTATGATCAGCTACAGTCCCAGGTTTGCTTCTTCGGGAGAGTTCATTAAAAGGACTATGAATTCAGGCTTCTGATAACTTTGGAGATTGTGCCATTGTATGAAAGAGAAAACTTGCACTGCACTAATTGAAAGGCTGATGTGTTCATAAAGACTGCTAATCCAACATGAAGCAGAGCAGGAGTTCATTGCAGGGACAGAGCTAATGAGGGACTGTAATACTTTTTCAGAGTTTTTTGTTTGGTTGTTTTTTTAATATATATATATATTGCTGATTCTTCTTTTGTCTTTCAGAGTCAGGAGAAGTTTTTCTTTTGAGCTTTTTATGGCCTTGAAATATAATTTAAGTATACCAAGTCTACATTTGTAAACAAAATTTGAATCATATTTCTCTCTCTGCCTAATTTCTCCAGAATTTTTTAACTATTTTTGAATATTCTTAATTAATGGCAATGTGTTAGTTTGCATATGTTTAATAAGAATCTGTTTTATTTTATAATGGGACACAGTTGGAGGAACTGGTTATTTTCCCAAGGCTTCAACTGAAATGGCCTTGTGAGAGGTTCCAGCAAAGCCAGTTTAGAAGAGTCTATGTGAACCATGGTTCCTGCTGCACTTGGTGTGGGTAATCAGGGCACGTATATGAAACTGAAGCTTATTTTGCAAGTAGGTTGTCCTGTTATGATTTGTCCTTGGTGCAGTGGGGAAATGGAAAGAGAAAGGTCGTCTTTTAGAAGAAAACTGTATTAGATTAACCTTTGATTCCTGGGTGGTCACATGGTCACCCATGGTGTGGAGCCGCCCACAATGCCCTCCTCAGCATGGAGCAGCCAGAAATAGCCACAACCCAATTCCCCGTGATTGAGGAACTGATAAATTAAAAGGGGGGACTGAAACCAGCCCAGTAATCCTACAGAGTTGCTTCCAAAGAAGCATAAAAATTGACCCCTCTGGTCTTAAAGCTTGAAACTTAGATTTGTTTTCTGTGAGTTCCTTCCTCAGAAGGAATGTACTAAAAATGTACTAAAGAACTGTAACTCCTCTTGAAAACTGACCAGACCATGGCATTCAGTGAAGGACTCCAGGCCCTTCATTCCCCACGATGGCTTCCTTGCCCCTCCCAGGTTGCTGTTTTCTCACACACTGTTACATTTCTCCCTTGCTATATAAATCCCTCATTTATTCTGTCAGGGAGATGGATTCGAGATTGAGCTCCCGTCTCTTCAGCTGCACCTGCGACTACAGCCTTCTTCCTTGGCAATACTCGTTGTCTCAGGGATTGGCTTTCTCTGCAGCAAGACCTAGAGTGAACCCCTGGTGTTTCAGTAACAACCACTCACACTGGTTCAGAACAAACCTCTTTAAAATATTTGACAGAGTTTGTTTTTTCTGTTGACATCATGAATACAGTATTCTGACAAGGGCAAAATTCTAGGCTAAGATAGATCCGCCACAGATTGTTGAGGGAGACATTTATTACGAAGGCCACGGCAGTATTTTGGGGGTGATGTAACTCTTTTTATATCCTGATTGCAGTAACATAACCCTATATTGTCAAAAGCTTTCAGAACTATATATTAAAATGGGGAATTATTACTATTATTTTTGAGACCGAGCTTCACTCTTGTTATGCAGATGGAATGCGATGATGCAATCTCGGCTCACCACAACCTCCACCTCCCAGGTTCAAGCGATTTTCCTGCCTCAGCCTCCCTAATAGGTGGGATTACAGGCGTGCACTACCATGTCCAGCTATTTTTTTGTAGTTTTAGAAGAAACGGAGTTTCTCCATTTTCGTCAGGCTGGTCTCAAACTCCATACCTCAGGTGATCCACACACCTCGGCCTCCCAAAGTGCTGGGATTACAGGCCTGAGCCACTGTGCCCGGCCTAAAATGGGTGAATTTTACTGTAAATTATACTGTAATAAAAGGCTGAAAGGCATCTGTATTTGAAAGCCTGGGCGTGGGCTGGGCACAGTGGCTCACCCCTGTAATCCCAGCACTTTGGGAGGCCGAGGCAGGTGGATCACGAGGTCAAGAGATTGAGACCATCCTGGTCAACGTGGTGAAACCCCGTCTCTACTAAAAATACAATTATCTGGGCATGGTGGCGCGTGCCTGTAATCCCAGCTACTCGGGAGGCTGAGGCAGGAGAATCGCCTGAACCAGGAGGCGGAGGTTGCGGTGAGCCGAGATCGCACCACTGCACTCCAGCCTGGGTAACAAGAGCGAAACTCCGTCTCAAAAAAAAAAACCTGGGCGTGTTCTCCATTTAAAAAGGCACATTTCAAATATTGTGCCTACAGTGACCCCGTTGACATATTTTAAAATAATGTAAAGGATATATAACAACTTGCTAATTACCCTCCGGGGAATCAAATGCAAGGAGGCTTTTATTTTCTATGCATTCCCTCATCACTGGTACCGTTTTAATCATTAAAGGTGTAAAAGCTACTTGTAAGTAAACAAATTAACTTCCCCAGGACTTCAGTATGTTTCTGTTCCGCGACCTAGACACGCGCGGCCGCTCCTCCCCAACTGACGCGGCAGCCCCTCACCTGGAAGAGCCGCGTCTTCACCCGCATGGTGCCGTAGCCTTCCCGGCGGCTCAGGTAAAACGTGCCCGTGAAACTGGAGCCATCTGGCCACATGTAGGTACCCAGGCCGTGGCAGTGGTCCCGGTAAAACTCCCCGTGGTATGACTGTGAGATGGAGAAGTTGGTTAGAAACTGCTGCTCTTCCAGAAGCTGACGGACACCCTCGAGGCCGAGCCACCCCGCCTGGCTGGCAATGAGTGGGGACCACCTGGGGCTGTGGCACAACTCAGGGGTGCCTGGCAAGCGATTATTAGAGTTGGCACCTGAAGTGCCCAGAGGGGTTACCAGGCAGTCAGCCCGACAGCCTCTCTGTCTTCTCCTCAGGTGTGGAACGCTGGGGGGTCTTCAAACTGCCTAGACATCCATCAGGAGAGCTCGGACCTGCCTTCTCCCTGGAGACCTTTACCTTGGGTTTCGGGGGGCCTGTCCCTACTCAGGAGCCCCATGCTGCTGGGCTCCCTGCCAGGTTCAGAGGTGACAGGCTGGCCCTGGGAGGTGGGCTGTGAGCCCTAGTGGGCACAGGACAGGCCTCTGGTTTATAACTCCTCAGCACTGGCCAGACATGAGCCCCACAAACAACAGGAGTCCGTGTGTCAGAGCCTGCCCCTCTACGAAGGCCCCAGAGGGAAAACGAATGTGACGTTCATGACGAGGGCTTCCAGTCAGGAGACCTTCACACTGAGTGCAAGGCACCACCTTTTCCTCAGAGGCAGGATGGGCCTGGAGTGCCTGCACAGCCGTCCGTGCTCACAGTCCAGCCAGACCTGACCCCGACGTGAAAGGCATGGCAATGTTCACAGCTTAGCGGCCCTTCCATTTCTTCTGGCAACAGACACCCTCTCCCTGCAGAGAGGATTCCCCAAGGGACCCAGCCCCAGAGCCTGGGCCAAGCCTGGCCAACCAGAGGACGCCTTACTCCCACCCCAGCCTCGATGGGTGTGACCACTTCACACATCCCCAAGCCAGACCAGCGTCCTGCTGGGGCCTTTCTCTCTCTCAAGGGTATTTGATGCCACCCACAGGGCTGTGCAGATGCAGCAAGGTCAGTCTTAGAACCCCCTTGTGGAGATGGAAAGAGAGAGGGCCTAGTTAGATCATTTGAACCCTGGATCCAGCCGAGCCTGAGGCCACCTCACCCCTGGACCTTCCATTACAAGTGTCTAACAGAGGCCTTTTCAGTTTCTGCTACAGTGAATGCAGGCTCAGGACCTAGCCTGGGGGTTCAAAACTTGTTCTCATTTTGTCTTTTAGAACATTGGCTGCCTTCTGCTTAAGCCCAGACACAGGCGATTTCACCAAGGTAAATATATGATGTGGCTACAGCCGTTCGTAATTTTTAAAGGTTGGCCCAAAGCTTCCCATGCCTCGTCCTGTGGACCCCAGCAAACCATTGGTGTGATTTTGGAAGTTGGGAAAGATGCTTTTCTCTGGCCATTTCTCAAGGAGGAAAGACTTCAGCCTCGCATCCTGTCTGTTTATGGGCCTAAAAGCTCCTGTCCCATCATGCTTAGAAGGAGAAGCCAGCCACCAGAGGCCCTGGGGGAGGAGGCGGAGGAAGTGTGGCAGCAGTTACCTCACCCGTGGGCCAGGAGAATTCGCCATATCCAAGCTTCATGTTCAGCCCAAACTCCCCCCGGTACACACAGCCATCCTGCCATTCCTGCACACCCTGGACGAGCTGCAGATGGGCCTCCTTCAGGTCCTGCACCCTCAGCGGGCCCTCAGATTCCTCCTCTTCCTTCTCAGAGGCTTCAGACACATCCCTAAAAGGACAGGAGCAGAGGGAGGAAGAGCGAGATGGCTGCAGTGCCTTCAGTGGCTGCTGAGCACAACCTGGCATCTCATTTCACCCTACAGCCCCAGGGCAGGTGCTGCTGCATCCCCACTCCACGGGAGAGAACACTGAGGCACAGAGGCTGCAGCGATGGCTGAGGTCACACAGGAAGTGGAATGTATAGTAAGGCTCCTCACAGACAGGGGAGACGCTGCCAGGCCCAAGAGGCAGGACCAGTCAGCCTCTCCAGCCCCGGCCTGCTGGCTGCAGCTCCTGAGATCCAGGCCCTCTGGCCCACTCCAGCTGCCTGCAGGATGTGTGTGCTCACAGCCAGGTTCTCATTCAAGGGCCAGCAGTGCCAGCCTCAAGCTGGACAGAAAGCAGACTGCCCATACATGTGGGCCCATGGGAGGCCAGAGGCCAGCTGGAGAGGCAGCCAGCTCACACTAGGATGGACAGGTGGATGGGTGGACAGACGGAAGGGTGCAGGGCTGGGAGTGTGCTGCAATGGGGGGAGCACCAACCAGGGTGCATTTGCCATAACTCACAGGGTGTCCACAGGCAGACGGGGCGTCTCAGACCCCCCAAGACGGACGGGGCATCTCAGACCCCCCCCAAGACGGACGGGGCATCTCAGAACCCCCCCCAAGATGGACGGAGCGTCTCAGACCCCCCCAGACGGACGGGGCGTCTCAGACCCCCACAGGCAGACGGGGCATCTCAGACCACCCCCAAGATGGATGGGGCGTCTCAGACTCCCACAGGCGAACGGGGCATCTCAGAATCCCCCCCAAGATGGACAGGGTGTCTCAGACCCCCCCCAAGACGGATGGGGTGTCTCAGAACCCCCCCCAAGACAGACGGGGCATCTCAGACCCCCCCCCAGACGGACGGGGCATCTCAGACCCCCCCCCAAGACGGACAGTGTGTCTCAGACCCCCCCAAGACGGACGGGGCATCTCAGAACCCCCCCAAGACGGACGGGGCATCTCAGACCCCCCCCAAGACGGAAGGGGCATCTCAGAACCCCCCCCAAGACGGACAGGTTGTCTCAGACCCCCACAGACAGACGGGGCATCTCAGAACCCCCCCCAAGACGGACAGGTTGTCTCAGACCCCCACAGACGGACGGGGCATCTCAGACCCCCACAGGTGGACAGGGTGTCTTAAAGGGGCTTCCGTTCTCAGCTGTGCAGGGCGGCAGTCCCTGTTTGGGGAGGGTCCCCTTCCTGGAGTGGCCTTCTCACTGGGTCCGCACACGGTGGTGGGAGGATGGGGGAACTCTGGGCTCCTCCTCTTCTTATAGGTATGCACATTTCATCATGGGGTCCACCCTCACCACCTCCCAAAGCCCATCACACTGGCCAGGGCTGGGACTGAGTTTTGGAGGCCCACAAACAGGGGCAAGCGTGATGGGGTGACCCTGGGACCTGGTGAGGCTGCAGTGAGGCTCCAGGGCAGCCCTGGCTCAAAGCAGCCCTTGCTGTGAACAGAGCTGTGAAGTCGGGGCCCACTCGGGAGCCCCGTCTCGCGAGGGAAACGTTCACTCCCTCTGCTAGCGGGCAGCGTGCAGGCGGGAAGGGGCAGGAGAGGCTCCGGTTACCATCTACCGGCGTCTTCCCCAGTGGTTGCTGACACCTGTCGAGGCTTCTGGATTTCTCGGGGAGTGACAGCCGTTTCCACTGCTCGCCTCAGGGAGCATCCCGGCTAACCCTGGGCCCGGGTCAGGGTCGCGCCTCCCTGCCCGAGGCTCCCCCGCACCTTGAGGCGAAGACAGCGTCACTCCGCGGGGACCCCGGCTCCTCGGCATCAGGGGTCTCGCCGCCCTTCCCGTCCAGCGGGCGTTGGGGGCTGTCAGCCCCGGAAGCTCCGTCGTCGAAGCTCAGGGAGGCGTGGCCCCCGTCCATGTCTGTGAACTCCCACCCTGGAAGCAACGCCGGGACCGCATATTTGTCCCCGGGGCTCCTGCTGGGAACTCACACTCGGAGGGCGCCCGAGGTCCCGCCCGCAGCCCGTGGGCCTCAGAGAACCCCAACCCCTCCCTGAACCGCGCCGGAGCCCGGGCCGCCATCCCTGGGAGTCCTCAGGGAGGCCTGTTGGAACCCTGGGGAAACTTCGCCCCTGCTCCCAGGTGTCCCTGCCCCTTCCAGGGCGGGGACCACAGCAAGGGCGGTTGTGGCCACGTGGCCAGATCAGGTCCGCGCCCGCCATCGCCCAAGGGGCGCCGCTGACAGCAGGTCTCCGCCACCGGCCTCGGAAGCCAGCGCCCACCGAACCTCACACCCCCAGGCCCTGGGCCCCTCCCCAGTGGCCTCCCCGACCCGCCACCCCACGGAGCTCGGGGATCCCCCCAGCCCCGGCTCCCAGAGTCCCTGCGCGCGGGCCGCACCAAGCAAAGCTCAGAGAGCTTGCGCCGGACAGCACGGAGACCGAGGGGACCGCAGCCACAGTGGACCGCGCTCCCGCCGGGACTGCCCGCCTAAGCAGCTGGAGAGCGTCGCGTTTCCCTGGAGACAGCCCCGCCCCGTGCCCGCTGCCGCTCGCCGGCTCCGCCAATCCCCACGCCAGGACGCGCCCGGCCCCGCCCCCAGGCGTGACAGCCCCCTGTGACTTCAGCTGCTCAGAGGCCGGCCGCCAGGCGTGGCGGAGTCGGTCCCAGCTTCCCTGGGTCCCTGGACCAAGTGCCCCTGGGGGAGAATGCGCTAAATTCTCCCAACACTCCCGCGCCGTGGGACATCTGAGGAAACTGAGGCCCAAGTGTTAACTTGCCCTGATCACAGATCACCTAGCACGCGGTGGAGCCACGGCTTGATCAAGCCCTGCCTGACGACCCCAGCCTTTGTCCATTCAGTGAATGTGGAAGGCGCAAGGGGAGCCCGAGGCCTGCAGAGACAAGGAGATGAGGGAGGCCGCAGGAGTCACCGCAGAGAAGAGGGATGGGCTGTCTTGTCTAGGGGAAGGGCTGAGGGAGAGAGGATTCCTCATGGGGCCTCACAGGATGTGAAGGAGCTCTCCGGGCTACAGACCACATTTCAGGCAGGCACCATGGTGGGAAACAGGTCTTCCTGGAAAGAGGGGAAAGGCTCTCGGAGGTGCAGGGCTCGTGTTTCTCAACCCAGACTGCCTTTGAGAGCAGGGCGGGGGTGTGTGAAGAGCTGACGCCTGGGCCCTCCCCACTGGATAGCTTTTCCAGGACTAAGGCCTAAGGCTGGGCCAGGATTCTGGGGTTCTAGGGGCACCGCCTCCACACGCCAGCGCCTGTCTCCGAGTTCACTTCTCTCTACAGTAAAATCTCATTTTATACCATGACCCAGTACAGACAACTCAGAAAAATGTCTCATTAAAAGTTCACCATACTACATGCATGCACCCTAGTATATTCATGGAGTCTATTCTATACCATTTCTCTAAAAACTAAAAGGGTGGTCATAACCCACGGAACTATCTCACAACCCACGTTAGCTGTGAATTACAACTTGCTAAGGGGTCAGAATCAACTCGGAGAAAACCCCGTCTTAGCAAGCATTCTCGTTACACCATGGGAGGCTGGCCCGGTCTAAATGTGGCAATGAGGTACAGACACTTAGGATGAACTGGCTCCCAATCCATCAGCTCAATGGGGTGTGAGTACGATGGGTTCAAGCAGACCTTTGGGGCAGAAAACTCACCTCAACCATCGTCCAACTATGAACGGTGATTAACCCAACAGCCCAGGAGGAGGGGCTCCAGGTTTCACTGGATGCATTTCAGTGCCCGACAGTGCCTGCCATCAAGGACCGGGGCTCTCCCATCTCCTCCGCTTTCACCCGAGGCTGGTTCCCCTGACGGCAGTGAGAGAACAGAGGAGCTTTCCAAAGCTCTCGCCTTCATGAGTTATTAGACACGAAGCCTATTTTGTCGGAGCAGTCACAGGAGCGTGCGCTTCACTGCTGGCCACAGACAGTTAGGGCCCACTCCTAGGAGGTGGAGAGACATCAGTGGCTCCCACGAACCCTGGGGGGAAGAAAGGGGGAATTCCCCTCCTTCATCTCAGGAAATTTGGGAGTCCTTCTTCAGGGTAGAGTAAGTGGGAAGTAAGACGTTGGTAAGACTTCCAGAGATGACGCTGGAGCTCCAACCAGCGAGGACCTGGCCACAGACTTGAGTCTTCAGCTCGAGTGAACCCCAGGCTGCGATCAAGACCTGTCAGGTACCAATGTTAGGTGGCTGATGGAACGAAACAGCAAGAACCCCGAGAGAGACTGTATAAAACAGAACTTCAATTACTAACGTCTGTGGGGCTGGGAGACAGGTGCTTTTCACTGAATCCGATCCCTGAAAATTACCAGACACCAGAAAAACTGACGCGGTCTTAAAAGGCAACTTCATGGACATTCTGATACTGAATTTTAGAAAGTTACAACGCTGACCCCAATAAATCACCAAGATAAAAACAAAAGGAACAGTGGTCTATGTAGTGATGGAAATAGAAATTACACAGTTTTACTTCGTGAGCCGTGCGTTACAATACAGAGGGGGAAAATGCCCCAGTCACCCAGCCTGGCCAACACGGTGAAACCCTGTCTCTACTAAAAGTACAAGAAGTAGCAGGGCGTGGTGGTGCGCGCCTGGAGTCCCAGCTACTCGGGAGGCCGAGGCAGGAGAACGGCTTGACCCTGGGAGGAGTCACAAGATAAAGGGGGAGGACACGGGAACCACGCAGCCCGGGGTCCACAGGGGCCGGGCGGGGCGGCCACGAAGCCCCAGGGGAACCACGGGGACACGCAGTGCGCAGACCCGGCCAAGCCACGCCTCCGCGCCAGCGCCGCAGTCCAGCCACGGCCAAACCACGCCTCCGCGCCAGCGCCGCAGTCCAGCCACGGCCAAACCACGCCTCCGCGCCAGCGCCGCAGTCCAGCCAACAGGGGCGCTGCGTGCAGGGCCAGGGACGCCACTCGGCGCAGGCGCAGGCCCGCAGGGAAAGGGGGCGCGGCGCCTGGGGACGGAGAGCCCGGGGCCCGGAGCGGCCCAAGCCCCCTGCCATGCCCCAGCCCCGACGAGACCCAAGCCCCCCGCCCCGGCCCGGCGCCCTCGGGAGGCCCAAGCCCCGGCCCCTTCCACCTCGGAGGGCTCTAGGACCCGGAGGCGCCAGGCTCCCACAAACAGACTCCTGGGCGGGCGCCTGAGCCCCAAAAATAGATCCTCAGGGCGGACGCCCGAGCCTCAACGACAGACTCTCCGGCGGGCGCCATGGGCCCGGGAGAAGCGGGTCACCGCGGGGCCGCCGCGCCGGTACCGCCGCCATTCGCGCGCGTCGCGCCCTCGCTCTTCCTCGGGAACGCGCGCGCCGCGGGAGCGGGAGAGCAGCTGGCGCGCGCAGGCGTCACGCTGTGCGTCAACGTCTCCCGCCAGCAGCCCGGCCCGAGCGCGCCCGGCGTGGCCGAGCTGCGCGTGCCCGTGTTCGACGACCCGGCCGAGGACTTGCTGGCGCACCTGGAGCCCACGTGCGCCGCCATGGAAGCCGCGGTGCGCGCCGGCGGCGCCTGCCTAGTCTACTGCAAGAATGGCCGCAGCCGCTCGGCCGCCGTCTGCACCGCCTACCTCATGCGGCACCGCGGCCTCAGCCTGACTCAGGCCTTCCAGGTGGGCGGGCCTCGGGGGCGGGTGTTTCGAGAGGGGCGTGTCTTCCGGGGACGGGCCTGGCTTCGGGACTGGAGTACTTCCGGGAGGGGCGTGGCTCATCCGTGAGGGCGGGTTTAGGGACGCGGAGAGGCACTTCCGGGTTGGGCGGGGCCCCTCTTGCCGGCCGAGTCCGCCTTGGCTCTTCCTGGCCATTAGGGCGACTGTTCGATGCACCTCTCGTTTGCAGATGGTGAAGAGCGCTCGCCCGGTAGCGGAACCCAACCCGGGCTTCTGGTGTCAGCTGGAGAAGTATGAGGCGGCCCTCCAGGGCCCGTCCTGCCCGCGGGGAGAGCCCCCAGCCTTAGGCGTGGGTCCTGAAGCTTGAAGCGGGGGCCTCGGGGCCTGCTGCCTGGAGGAAGAACGTTCCCGCACCCACGCAGGAGACGGCCTGTCCCTCCTCCCCGTCACGCGGAGCTTTCCTTTCTGTGTGTGAAACGATGCTTTTACTGTGATATTTCTGGCTGAGCTGAGGAACAGATGATCTTACGGATACCAAGAAACACATTTGGTAAAACCCTGACGACAGATTGAGGAAAAGCAAAGGGGTCCTTGATGATTTATACCCCGGAATCCTGAGTATTTGGGAGTGCGGGCGCATCCCGCCAGCCCCAGTGAGGGACGTGAGCACAGGCTGCGGGCATCGGGATCTGAGTCACACGTGAAATCAGGAACAGCAACTCCTCTTGCGTTTATCTTTAGTAGTGTCATAAGAAGGGACTAGTTCTTCCTGCGTGACCACAGACGCCTGTTGGAGAAAATGCACAGCACGTGGGGCGTTGACATCAGCAGAGCTGTTGATGGAGGCACCTGAAGGGCAGCTTGGATGACCGTGGCGTTTCGCCAGCCCCTCCGCAGCAGAGCCGGAGCTGCCCCCCAGCAGTGGGGACAGTCATGGACATCCTTTTCCTATTCCTAGAGAACTCCAGGACATTCAGAATTTCAAAAGTGACTTTTTCTCCCCTAGCTTCTTGGTGACAGAGTATGGCGTTCCTGTAGGGAAAATAAAGCCAGGTTCTTTTGCCTCTTTCAGTAAAGCTGCTTCGTCTGGGGAGGAAGCCGGGTAGATGATATTTCCATCTCTCAGGGATAATGGTGGGGCACACAGACAGCAGGGTAGGAAACAGCTTTATACATTTTTCCGTGGGGTGACCATTCTCAGTGTTCTCCAATAAATTGGGGTCCTCACAGGACTTAGATGGAGGGTGTCACATTGTAAATTACACTTGCAATGGTACACTTTTTTTTTAGATGGAATTTCACGCTTATAACCCAGGCTGGAGTACAATGTTGCCGTCTCAGCCCACTGCAACCTCTGCCGCCCAGTTCAGGTAGTTTTCCTGCTTCAGCCTCTCGAGTGGCTGGGATCACAGGCGCCCACCACCACGTCCGGCTTTTGTATTTACTTCAGTAGACACGGGGTTTCACCACGTTGGCCAGGCTAGTCTTGAACTCCTGCCATCAGGAGATCCACCCATCTTGGCCTCCCAAAGTGCTGGGATTATAGGTTTGAGCCACTGAGCCCAGCCTGTATACTTCTGAAGTGTCTTAATATTGCACGCAAGCGTTCCTGTTTTATCAGAAAATAGGTATCTTACCCGCCCGGCTCTTCACTGAGATGAACGTGCTGGCCATGGTGTAGACACTATTCACTTTATAATGTACATCTTCATTCCAGTTTATAAACCGGGCCTGAACGTATTTCACAGTTTCCATAGTGAGCAGACTAGTGGGGACGAGGTTCTGTAACAAGATGGTGAACACAGTATGTCAAACATGATGCTGTGAGCTGGGATCCTCTTTCAGGTACCAGATGTCACCATCCTTTTTATATCATAGCACAGCTGCCAGGCAGCCCAGCAAGGACACGATCAGAGCTGCAGGAGCACAAGGGAGGCCTGCACATGGGTTACTTTCTCAACCTCTGATCTCTTGAGAGGTGATTTGACAGAATTCTACAGGAATTTAGTTTCAAATCCAATGCAAACAACTATGCCAGTGATCCACTGAGTATTTCTAAGCTGTGCGCCTCTTACCTAGACCTGCTCAAGCTAAGCTACTGAAATGACAGCGAGGCGCTTCACAGTCTGTTTTTTCCGGATAGGCCTAAAAGCTGGTTTTCTGTTTGCATTTCAGCTGCTTCTGGCAAGCCTGCCGTGCCTTACATTTGTCTGTCTCTGCCTCCGGATCAGATGCTGCTGTATGAGCACACTGACTGAGGCTCAGGGGAAGACATCAGGCCTGGGTCTGCAGGAAGGAACTCCCCAGTCCAGGCCTTCCGTGTCACCCACATTCACGTCTTTGTGCTAAACGGTGTGCCATGAATCGTGTCCTAACTCTTTTGTATTCTTTTGCTAACTCTTGTCTGCCATATGTCATTTACAATCTGTAACCTCTGGTGCCTGAAGTCGTAAGAATCATCAAAGGCAAGAGAGTTGTATGTTCTCCCGTCGGAGACACGGCTGGAACTTGCCACACTAAAGTAATACACACGAAGAAAGCATTGGCAGCTTTGGTGAAATGCAGCCTCAAAGCCAAGGGAGAAATGAGCACGCGGTGGACTCGGCAGCGTACGGTCTCTGACGGGGTTACAGGAGCTCCCCCAAGTCGCGTCAGCACTTCGGCTCCGTTCTCAGTGGTAGTCACAGCAATCTAAAGTGAAACTGCTCTGGACGCCTCTCTGGGAAGAGTTTCCATCCTTCCCACTGTTTTCCTCTGCCTCGGCAGCCGGCTGAAAGGCCCAGTCCATGTCCTGCCGCCAGCGCCGGGGCTGTGCTCTGAGCTCTGTGGTCCCACTGGGCCGAGGCTGCCCAGCGTACCTGCCTCCACACTGAGTTTTCATTTTTCCCAGTTAAGCCCCATCTTCCTGAAATGCAGCCCAAGAGGGTCTCTGACCCCTCTTGATGGTGGTGCAGGGGTCTGTACCTCAGACCCCACAGACCATCCGCTCTGTTCTCTTCCCTCTGGTCAGCTGAGCTTATTAAGCTCTGGTCATGAAAATCTAAACCACTTAAGGAACTGTAGGCAGAGAGAAACTGAATGCAGGAAGAAGGCTGGGGAGCCAAGGACAGGAGAGGGGGCATAGGGGACTCACAGGGCCCTGCCACCCAGATCCCCACTGCCTGATGTCCCAGCTCTGGAGGACTCCTGGAGCTCTCAGCAGAGCCTCCTGCCCACCAGCTGCTGAAGCCACTGTGCGCCCCCTCCCTCCCACCTCCCGGACCTCTCACCGGTCTCATCTTAGCACTGAACACGGGATGCCCCTGCTGTGACAGGCCGGGGAGAAGGAGGCTGTGCTGGCAGCCCATGCATCTGCACCCTCCTCCTACCTTGACCTGTTTCACCAACACTGCACCCCAACCTAAAGTCACAGAGCCACCGTCAAGCCAGTGATGTGCTGGGTCTCCTCCCCGCACCGTGGGAGGGCGGAGCCCATAAGCCGCCACGGGAGGCATCCTAGGAGATGGATTCCTCCTCTAGTTGAGACACAACCTCTCCTGGGCATCCTGTGGCCTAAAGACTATCCTATAATCAACCCTCTTCAGATCAGACAGTGGGAAAGAAAAGGAAGATGTGTGTAATACACGTGAGTCACAGCGTAGGCACCGGTTAATATATACAAATATGTGTGTGTACATCTGTACGTGGCCACTGTGGGTGGCGCTTCTCACCTGCCTTTTCCCCCCTCAGCCAGTGCCCCAGCTGCTTGTGGCCTTCACCTGGTGTGAGCTGACCCTTCATTTGTAAGGCCCCAGGCCCTGTGTGGCTACGGTCTCTATTACCTGTACTGCACCACCAGAGAGAAGTAGAAGGCACAAACCTTCCTGGCCCTCAAGCCTCACAAAGCCACTTGCCCACCCGCCAGAGCCAGCCCTGTCTTGTCTCATGCTTGTGTGGCTGGGCTGCGTCCGAGCCACGCTCCCAGTGAGACCCAGTTGTGTTCCTAAGCAAAAGCATCCCACCTGGGGACTGGGGACCCATCCCAAGCTGGGGTGGGGGATGGGAAGCACAAGTTTTGTAAGCCAGGCATTGGGGTGGTCATGAGAGGGGCCTTCTCCCTTCCCATGCCTTGTGCACCTGGGCCTCAAGCATATGCCACACCTTGTCGGTCACTGCCCCTGTATGCTCACTGTCACCAGTGAGCACCACCCATCGCTGCTGACCACAGCCCCCCCCCCAATAAGCTGCTGCCTGGGGCAGCCCCCGTCTCTGTGGAGGGCTTGACTGCCACTGGGCTCTCCAGATAAGCTCCTTATGACCCACGCAACCTTTGCATCAGCCAGGAAGGAGGCACTGCCAGTCCCCACGAGCAAGGAAGGAACCGTGGCTTGGAGAGGAAGGAGGACCTGGGCCTGGGGTCTCCCCTACGTGCTGTGGCTCAGCCCTGGTCACAGCACCCTGATGAAAACCTTGCCTCAGGGCAGGGCACACCCTTTGCCTGCTGATCTGGCCAAGTGGCAAGTGTATAGGGCATCAGGGCCCCGGCCAGAAGGATGTCTTTTTACCCACCAGCTCCGTCTGAGAACTGGTAGCTCGCTGGTCCTCGGGTGTGTCAAGGAATGCTGGGGTGCAGGTGCCTTGCAGCCACTTCACTGTGCCCATCCCCAAGAAGCTGCAGTATGGAAATTCCTGTGGGAGAAACCCGGGACGGACAGCCCCGACGTCCAGGCTCCTCTCCTGGGGTTGGAGGAGTATGCAGGTGCCCGCCGCCCGGGCCTGGCTGCAGCGCAGCCTCCCTCTGCCAGGGTGCGCCAGGCAGGCGGGGGTGGGGCTGGCGCTGGGGGGGCGGGGCGGGCCGGCGCGGCACAGTTGCAGACCCCGCCCCCTCGGTTCAGCCGCGCCTCCCGCTCCGTGGGGTGCAGCAGGGCAGCTCCCACAAACGGCCCGGGCTGGACGCGCTCCTCCGGACCCCCGGGGTTGTAAGTGCCACAGTAACTCTGGACTCCTGTGCGCAGAATTGGCCGCGGAGAGATGCCCAGAGCGAGACCCCAGGCTCTGCCCCCGAGTCCACCGCGGGGCTCAGGGTGGCAAGACACCAAGTGCCATGTGACTTGCCCCCCACGCAGCCAGGCCCCGCTCGTGTGGCACCGCGTGTACCGAGCTGATGTTCTTCCAGCCCGGTGGGCTCTGGAGAGCCCCGTATAACTGGCGGTGCCGTTGAAAACAGCCTGCCCTTGGCACTGCAGGGCCCCGGGGGCAGGGCACTGGGGGCAGTGAGGAGGGTCCCATCCCAGCTGTCTTCCCTGTCAGCCTTGGATGCAAGGCTGATCCCCACCTCTGAGACTGCGGAAGCCTCGGGGTTCCCTTTGGGATGGGCGCTCCAAGAGGTGGCCTTGTCCATGCCTAAGAGGGCACGGGGGGATCTGAGGTCCTGTGGGAAAACTGAAATGCTGCCTTATGCTCTGTCCCGCAAACGTGAACGCGCACTCTCCCTCTCAGCCTTCCTTCCCGCCCCACGGAAGGAGGGTGGACACGAAGGGTTACACATGGGAGACCGAGCCCAGGCACAGAAACACTACTCAGGGCTGACGCTGAGTCACGTGCGGTACCCGAGCCCAGCCCTGCACTGCCACACCTCAACGGAGCAGAGGAGAGGTGTGCGGGTTTCCTGGGTGCTTCCCCAGCCCCAGAAGCCCCTTGTCCCTGGAATTCCTGATGACAACACTCACGTCATGGTGGCCCCTGTCATTCCACAGCCTCAAGACACCGCTGTGAGCTCACTAGCAGCTTCTGCAGGGCGAGCAGCCCTCCCTCGGGGCGCAGGCTCCTGGAAAGGCTCGGCCTTGGGCAGCCTTCGCAGGGTCAGCAGAGAATGGGGCTGGGAAGGGTGGACCTGGTGGGTGGGGTGGGGACAGGCAGGCGAGGCCCTCGTTCGTACTCCAGCACCGGGCTCCCAAAGGAGAGGTCCCCAGCACTGCCCAGAGGAACTGGTGCGACTGTGGAAATGACTGCTGTCTGCTTTGTCCATCGGCCACTCCTCCCAGCAACACACACTCATTCACTCCACCTGCCACGAAGGAACTGAACTTCTAACTGT